TGGGTGGGTGGGTGGAGGTGGTGTGTCTCTGATGGGTGGGTGGGTGGGTTAGGGTTAGGGTAACCCTAACCCTAACCCTAACCCTAACCCAAACCTGCTGTGATCTGTGTCTGTTCAGGACCCTCCAGACCTGCAGCGGTTGGAGCTGCTGCTCTTCTCCTGCCGGCCTCCGTCCTCGCCGTCTATCTGTGGATCCGGTGAGTGTAGTGGATTCCTTTTATTTATTTATTTTTTAACATTCTTTATTTAAGATTATTATGAATCCAACACACATACATATGAATATTTATGCATGCACTTACATAAAGAAAAACAAAAACCAGTCAAACAAAAAAATAAAAAATATAGAAAAAAATAAAATAAAATAAATTAAAAAAAAAAAAAAAAAAGGGGGGGGGGTCTCAGCAAACATTTAAGTCCATTTTGGCAATTAACATTTCTTTGAGAGGTTCTCATGGGCTCGCATGAAAGAGAAATGTACCTATCCAGTGTCTTTCATTAAAAGAGAGAGACATAACAAGGGGACTAGCAGCTTTTTATAACGCTTAGCATCTTTATAAGAGTGGCCATCCAAAGTAAGAAATAGCTGGGGTCCAAACACTCAGAAAAATGTCCATTTTTAAATGAAGTTTTGCTGTTATCTTTTCCATTGTGTACACATTCTTCAATCTTTCTTGCCATTGTCTAAGAGTGGGAGGCAGTGTAGTGGATTAATGTCTCGCAATGCATATGTTCGTGTGGCAGTAAGCATATACTCGTGTGACAACACTTTTAGTCATGAGGGAGTAAACAAGGAGATATGGTGGGAGACGGTAGAAACAGCCCAGGTCCAGATCCCAAACCAATGGAATAATGAGGGTGGAGGTAGTCATGAGGGCCAATGATGTATGTCACCATTGAGACCATGGGTGGACAATGGATAAAAACCTGAATGAGCAATGACATACAAAACAGGGAGATGGGGAGAGAATGCCCATTTAAAAAAAATGCACACCCTAGGGTAATTTCCAGCGGTATAAAATTAACAAACAGAGATAACCGTGGAATATGACCTGATATTACGTCATGAATAGGAGAGGCTCGGGGAGGAGCCCCAAGACACAGGGAGAGTATATAAGTGTATATAAGAGTATATAAGTGTATATAAGAGTATATAAGTGTATATAAGCAGGCCACTTTTCCCCAGAGAGCAGGTGTTAGCCTGGCTAACAGCTCATGAGGTTGACTTGTGTTTGCTGCAATAAACCACTCTGGACCGAGACCCAGCTGCCTCTGCTTCTTTTTGACCACTCTTTGAGATCTTTCAACTGCTTCTTCAAGAACTTTGTATTTTTGAAAGACTTAGAATAATTCACCACGTGGTCGGGAGGACATCCACGACATGAGCAGCTCTGCTCCTTCAGCCTCCTCTAAACTCACCCAGTCATGCTGGACTTCCCTGTTTGACTGGATTGTTTTTCATCTCTCTCCTGAGCAGAAAACAGAGGAGCTCCGGTGGGTCACCTGAACCTGAGCAGGTGAGGACTCTCAGACCATCGTGGTGGGAAACCTCCACATTTAGTTTTGGACTCGTAGTTCTGCTGGAGAACCCAGACCCGGCTCCACCAGAAGCCGTCCTCCTTTGTAGTGGATTAATATCCTACAGTGTACATATTATCACAAAAGATTAGTAGTAAGTGCATTAATATATATATATCTAAAAGAAAAGTAGAAGTAACATGTAGCTGGG